TGTGTGTGTGTGTGTGTGTGTGTGTGTGTGTGTGTGTGTGTGTGTGTGTGTGTGTGTGTGTGTGTGTGTGTGTGTGTGTGTGTGTGTGTGTGTGTGTGTGTGTCTGCGTCTGTGCGCATGTCTGTGTCTGTGTGTCTGTCTCTCTGTGTGTGTGTCTGTGTGCTTTGTGTCTCTGCGCGCGTGCCCCTTTGTTTGTGTCTCTGTGCGTGTTTGTGTCTGCATGTGTCTGCGATTGTGTCTGTCTCTCTGGGTGTGTCCCTGGCGCGCGCGCGCGCCTGTGCATGCGCGTCTGTGTGTCTTGTGTCTGTGCCTCTCTGTGTCTGTCTCTGTGTGTCTTGCGTGTCTCTGTGTGGGACCACACTGCAACCCTGGCAGCCTGTTCATGGCACGCGGCTCGCGGCAGTGTGCAAATGCGTCACTTCGTCCAATCCTTGCCCATCTCGCCAGAGAATGCTGGGAAATCTCGGGCGGCAGACAATACCCCGTGAGTTGCCAGAGCTGCCCCTAAATCGTTGAGGGGGTAAGTTGTATGCAAAAAGGCCAGCGACATGCTTCTCATAAACTCCCACTGAGAGATCAAAATACGCGCCAAGCTGCCGATGAATCGCTCGACGCGAGACCTGACAACCTGGGCCAAGTGCGTCAAACGCATGCGGCATCGTCTGAATCAAATCCCAGCACCACTTCTGGGCCATTGCCGTCGGGCCCTTTAGTGGGCGGACAAAACCCTGCACTTCTGCGCAACGTGCGAGAAGACGTGCTGCAAGCAACAACAAGACACACCTCACCCCGCTTGCCTCCTTCGCTGTGCTGCTCGCGCTCTTCTTAGAGGCATCCAACAAGGCCGAGACCAAGTCATCCGGCAGCACGCCCTAAGTCCCGCGCAGGAGAAGCCCCTCCAAAAAAAATCCAACCATGGGCGCACATTGAGATTGCTAAAGCCTGGTTCTCAGTGAATCAAAAGAGGTGTTGGAGTTGTGTGGGTGTGGGTCAAAAATAGGTACCCAACATGGAACCCTGGTAAATTGAAACAACAAGTAAAAGCTGCGGTCCCCTGGTGGTTTAATTCTGACCCATACCCCTGTGTTTTCTGTCGATCGTGGCCATTAGTTGCCCCTTGCCTGGAAGAACTCGGGCGCTATGACCTTCTCCTTTGGCTTGGCAGGCCGCATCCAAGTGTTCGGATGCCTAGCAAAGCCAAGCGCCCAGGGCTCAGGGCCTTCGCACGAACCAAAGCCAGCTGGCTGCAGCTGTCATCCGCACCTGTACGCTTTGGTGAGCTTCAGCTGCAACTCAATCCGCGCGATCACCTCAGCCTTCAGAAGAGCAGCCACCGGAAGGCAGTGTGTGCGCGTGTGTCTGCGCTGCAAAAAAGCCTTCCTGATTGCGAACAGAAAGTCTGCTGCACACCAGACAGCACGTACGTGCCCAGGCCAAAACTCCTTAAAAACCCCTCAACACGCTGCTCGACCCCTGCCTGGCCAAACGGTTTCTGCACGAAGTCGTTGGCGCCAATCTTCCTGGGCGCATGGGATTGAAAGATCTGCTGCGCAGGTTGGCCATCTCCCAGCTTGTCAGAGCCAAAGCCGCAAGCACCGCACAATCGTGTCTTTGTCCCCTTTGGCCGAGACCTAAGTTTGCAGCTGCTCCAGAACGATGGCTCTGAAGCATGTTCCCAAATGGGTGTGTCAAAACAAAAAACAGGAGGGGGTTACGCAGGTGTTGGTCCATGTTTCCACCAGGGCAACCCATGTTGGAGTTCCGGTTTTTTGAGCAGCCAAATGCCTGGTTGGCGGCCGCTTGAAGCTCTGCGCTTGAGGCGTCAAACAGTTGCCGCCATTCAGCTGCCCGAAACCCCCTAGCGTGCGGAAGCCTGTCCTAGCGCGGTGACTCCAACCCATAGTTGGAAGGTAAGATTGGTCAACCAAGCTTGTTTCACCAGCGGAAACAGTCTCTCCTTGTCTCTCCGCACACTCTGTAGTCAGTCTGAGCATGGTGGCAATCTACATCACAGCACGTATTGCGGCCGCGCCACCATAATGATTGGCAGGATTTCTGCTGGATAGCTCTTGCGCAACGTCCGCAGGACATCAGTCCCAGACAGTCCTAGGTATGCGGAATCTCAGCCCAGTGCGGGCCCGCTATTGGAAATCCTATCAAATCCTTTGGCACTCGCCTGGCATCATCACCTCCAGCAGCACCAGGGCAGGCAGAGGGTTCTCCCTGAGGAAGTTCAGCGCCTCGCCGCCGTGCACGGCCACCTGGCCGTGTCCCATGTCTATGCACAGATCACCGTTCCCCCCCTCCCCCCACAAAAAAAGAAGAATAAAAAAAGTAGCATGTGTCCAAGCAAGGCAGTAGTATTCAAGCAGAGAGCACCAAAAAAGGCATAACTCGGCCTTCAGGTCGTAGGGTGAGGAAGCCAGCAATGACTTCATCACCTGCTGATTCACGAGGTCATCGTCCACCTGGTGTCCACACGAGAAAGCCGCTTTGCAGAATGCAGCGTCACAAGGCTCCGCCAACTTTTGGAAGTTGATACAAACGATTGGCCACTTCAATCTCATCGACGCATCAATCTGGGCGCCCAAGCAGACAGCACCACGCAGCATGACTCGTCCTCCGGAATTTTCGCTGTGATCTGCAGGTTCTTTGCTGCGACGGTGGCAATACCTGCTTCAGGGTCAATTCGGAGTTGATTGATTGGACGGACTTGAACCATTTGATCTGGGCAAGACTAGTTGCTTGGAGACAGAAAACAACTGGGAGCACGTCAGGCAGCATGTCAACACTTTGCCAGTTTAGCACACAAAGGTTGAAGCTCCTTGGATTCAAGTGAGCATAGAGCTCACATAAGCCAGTGTCAACATTGACCATGTGTCTGAATTTACCAAACTCCCATGCCAAGTGAGCACACAAATATTTGGATATGTGTCAAAATACATACCCATCTTGAACTGCTTGTGTCAAGCTGCTCTCGCTGATTGCCTTTGGACCCCGCCTGGCTTGGAGTTCTGACTTCGCTGCCGTTCGAACTCCAAGACGTCGACTTGGCAGAAAGGTCGGGCGTGCATCTCCGAAGCTTCGCAACATGTAAGGGGCACAGTGCAAGTTGGGTCTGCATGGCACAAGATTCGGCCACCGGAGTCCAGCCGAAAGCTCCCAACCGAAAGCTCCAATCTGACGGAGGTCGCTTGCAAAAAAAACCCGGGAGAGGGCCTACATCGCGGACGCTTTGCACGGACTGCGGCATCGAGTTCTGGCTGGTCATCGTGGTATTGCGGCTCTGCACCTTCGGGGTCGCTGGCAGCAAGCCTGGCGGAAGCCGAAAAAGCCGCGCATGGATCAAACTTCCCGACGGCTCGGGCGAATCACCCTAAGTTGCTGGAAAAACCTCACTTTAGATTGGACAGCAAGGTGATGCCTTAAGGAAAGTGGCGAGTAGAATTCTGGTCCAAGCGACTGCATTCACAATTGAGATCGGAGCGCAAAGGCTTGATTCGCCAACAGCCGCGACTAGTCAATCACTCTCAATCATTAAGACACGGCGAGAGAGAGAGAGACAGAGCAAGAGAGGGAGAAAGGCAAAGATTTAGAGAGAGACAGAGAGTCTGTGTTTTTGCGCCGAAAATTGACTAACAGTATCAGTGAAAGCTATAGGAGTGAACCTCGGGCTGCACTCTAGCGCCTGCCCGGGCAGTCCTAGCTCCACACAGATTACAAGGAAATGCTTGGCCCGCGCGCATCCCGGAAAGCTACATCAGTTAAATGATTGAATCTTAGGGTTTTGACTGGAAGAGCGAATTCACAAACTCAGCAATCTCCAATGATCCGTCGTTGTTCTTGTCGGCGCTGTTCATTAGGTCGTCCAGGTCCCGGTCCGTCATGTTGGGGTTCAAGGACTTGAAGACGGTCGCCAGCTCCGAGCGGCTGATGCGTCCATTGCCATCTTTGTCAAACCTCTTGAAGGCAGCGATGACCTCCTGCACGGAACCCTCTGCCTTGGTGAAGCTGACCACCTTGCCCGTCATGACGAGGCCCTTCTGGTGGAAGAAGCTGAGGCGGGCCAAACCTGGAGTTCCCCTGAAGGTGTCGACCACCAGCGGCCTGTGCGGCACGAAGGTGCACTGCGCCATCTGGCTCGCCTTCAAATCACTGGGGTTCTCAACCTTCTTCCCCTTGGTCTCCCGGCCAACTTTCCACTTGATGGCTGTCAGGGTGCAAGGCGCGTGGCCTGTTCTCACAATGGCCATGGGTGAAAATTTCGGGAGGATAGCTTTGGGCACCTCCAGGACTTGGACCTGAGCATCGAATTCTTTGATCACGCTCAGGCTGGTGTCTGTCTTGTAGATCATGACGTCCCCAATTCGCGGCAATCTAGCCTTGTCCACGCCCTTGATGTTCAAGCCGAGAACGTCACCTGGGATTCCCTGCTCTTTCCTCTTGTGGTGCATCTCTATGGAAAAGACTTTGCCCTCGGCCATTGAGGGCAAAAAGACCACTTCCTCACCAGGCTTGACAATGCCTTGTTCAACTCGTCCGGACACCACACAACCCACTCCCTTGACGTTGAAGACGTTACAGAGCGGCATTCGAAGAGGCGTGTCATCTTTGCGCTGAGGCGGCAAGAAGGCGCGGTCGAGCACATCAAGCAGGGTTTCCACATGGATCTCTTGCTTATCCTTTGTCACAACGCTTTGACCATTCCACCAGCCCATGCGGTCAGACTTCCTTTGCAAGTTGTCACCGCAAATTCCTGAGATTGGAAGCACTGGAACAGCGGTTTCAACAAAGACCCTTCTCCAGCCACTCCTCGTCAACATGGCTTTGGTCTCGTTGGCAACCTCCTGGTACCTGGACTGGGAGTAGCCGGCGCAGTCCATCTTGTTCACGCAAATGCAGAGCTGTTGCACACCCAGAAGATTCATCACACGAGTGTACTCGCGAGTCTGGTCATTGATCAGTCCCAGGTCGCTGTCAGCTGCCACCAAAACGACTGCAACATCTGCCATGGAAGAGCCTGTCACCATGTTCTTGATGAATTCTCGGTGGCCAGGGACATCCACGATGGTGTAGTGCCATTTTTCAGTGAAGAATTCCTTGTTCTTGGATGCAATGGTCATGCCCTTCGCCCTCTCCTCCATCTTATCCATGTAGAAAGCCAAGGCGGAGCCTGACTTGCCCAAGTTCTCAGCATCCCTCCTCAGCTTGTCCATTTCACGTTCCGGAAGCCCACCCAGGTCGTAGATCAAGCGCCCCACAGCAGTGCTCTTACCGCTATCGGCATGGCCGGCAATCACCACGGAGAGATGCGGTTTCTCCGCCATGGCTTGGCTCGCAAATCGATTGCTACCCTGACTGGATCACGGCTTCGGGTCCAAGCCATGGCACCCTCAAATTCAAGCAACTCGCTAACAGTCAGGCAAGCCACGCTTCACTCAAACTCAAGCGACTTGCTCACAGCCAGGCAAGCGCATGCGCCTGTGCCATTGTCACCAGCCACCGTAGAAGCATCATTCTCGTCCTGGACAAGGAATCTGGTCTTGCTGTTCAGTGGGCGAGTGCCCAACAGGCGATCACGCGTTTCAGAACATGAAATAGGGCTCACTGCAACAAATATGGAACACACGCTTGCAAAACAAACTCAGTCCAGAGTTGGACATCCACAGTTGACGATGCTTGCTTGAGCCATTGAGTTTGGGCCACAAAACTGCGCCTTTGGAATCTCACTTCGATGCTTGATTGCCCAAGATTATAGTACATGTCCTGCCTCCCAAAATTGCACCGGAGGCTCTCTTCGACGTCTATTCAGAATGTGGTCATCTCTAAAACGAGGAACTTGCCCTTTGGACAACTTCGAAGGAAGATAATATTGCTTTCCCGATGCAAACAGCCAATCTACTTTGCAGTCCCTTTCCCATCCACCTTGAATGCTTGTCTTCCGCAAATCAAAATGTGAAAAGCCTGCGTCGTCTACAATGCATACAGTAGCGCTCAAACCGAAGTGTGCTCTTTTGGAGGAACACTTTGGGATGCTGCTGTCCTAAACTGTCCTCCACCAATTTCTCATGATTTCCGAAAACTGCACTTAGTGATTCAATGATTGGGAAGCATTTGGATCAGGCTGCATCTCAAGCCTTTTCCCCATCCAGTCTCCTGGTAGTCACGTACCTTGTAGGGTAGGGTCACGCGGAAAGTCGAGCCCTTGCCCTTCAGGCTTTTGACCTGCGCTGAGAAGGGTCTCGAGCTGGGTTTGTCGATCGGCTCGGAAAACCAAAACAAAAGCCCTTTCCCTAGCTCATCTGGGTGTGGGTCAAAAGATGGAACTCCCAAAATGGGTTGTGGTATTTTTGGACAGACCAAAACCTGCGGTCCGATTCCCGGGTTCATTTTGCCCATCTCGCATCCAAGGCGCCGTGAGATTGCCCCCGTGCTTCTGCACCACCTCCCGGCAGATCGCCAGGCCCAGCCCCAGGCCCTCGTACTTCCGCTGCTCTGAGCCTCAAAGGACACGCCAAAAGCTGCCACTGGGCAGACCAAATTGAAAGGAGCAGAACCAAATCGGAGGGTTGCTGGAAATGGCCTTCTACATTTGTTGGAGGGCTGGGAAAATCAGAGGCTCCCATGGTCTTGTGGTTGAAACTGCGTGCACTTTTCCGTGCCCCCGACGGAAACATGGAAATCTTCTCGCAGGGCCCGCCCTGGGTGCGGCCAAAAAGCGGTCCTCCTGGTCGAAGGGCTGAAATATGGTGTCGATATTTTCCGGGGAAATGCCAATGCCGGTGTCCTTGACCTATCAAGACCAATCAAAACAAGCACTTAAGAAGACATGGCCTCCCCTTGCAACGGGAAACATTCTGGACCCTGTCTTGGAAAATGCCATCAAAGTTGTTGCGCAACACAAACATGGCCAGCCACCGCTGGGCGCGTTTTTTTTGTTCGTGCCGAGAGGCATCCACCGTGACCATCTGTTCCACGTCATCGGCGCTGGCGCTGATGGTTACGGAGCCCTCGGCGTCGGGATTCGAACATCCCGACGGATTCCGGGCGAGCCAAACGGAATCCGCCAAAGGGTTGTTTGCAGACGTGTCATGTAACCGACTCTTGAACCAAAAGCATTCCTGAGTTCCTGGCCTGATTTGTGAATTTGATGGCATTGGAGATCAAGTTGAACATCAGTTGTGTACATCTATATGCATCAGCTTCAATGACCGGCAAGGTCTTGTTGACGGAGTTGATCAACTTCACTCCTCGAAGGGTGCCCTCCTCTCTGCGACCGACTCCGTTTCCCCGCTTGCCGCGCATGCCAGTCTGTGATCCCTCTTGCATGGGCCTCTGCAGCCCATCTACAAAAACTCAATGCCTGGCCCTGCTCGACTGGTGGGATCTGCCTCCTCCCGCAATGAACACTGCGGGGAGGCGGAGAGGGATCTACAGACCCTCCACCGAATAAAGCAAACCAAGCGTGGTCAAACGGAGAAGAAAGTGGCCAACATCTCGCAAAACTGGCCCGAAGCTGATGCGTACGCATGAGCACTGAGTACCCTGAATTCCCTGGTGGAAATTTGCTGCGGCATTCGCACGACCGGCGACTCTCGCGCCAACCCCGGCCCGGGCGCTCCATGGCGCAGGGTGGGCACGCCCCGCTTGTCCACAGCCTGCTGGCAAAGGAGCACCACCTTCAGGGCGCCCGTAAAGCCAGACACAGCATTGCCTTTGTGGGGAACGCAAGAAAAGGGAGAGGATATCTTCTCCACCCTTGGCCTCCTCGATGATGCTGGCAAGCTGCACCGGGTCTTTGGTGATACCAATCCTTAGGCTCAGTACCCCAAGTGCAATTGGCAAACGCCTGGACTTTTCGATGTATTTCCACTGCTTGCTTGGCTGCTCTACACGTATCTACAAGCAGTATCTTCCAGTACTACCCTCGCTTCAGCCCTAGAATGGCAATATCTATCAAAGCGGGTTGCAAGCAAGGGACTGGCTGGAAAGGGTACAAGTGGTACATGCGTTTAAGCATTGCACTTCTGAATAAGGGTTGTTCAGAGCGCACGACCACCATCCGCATGGAGAATGGCACCACGCGCTTTTCGAGCCAACGATTTCTCGTACAAGCTTTGGTTCACATAAACACAACGTAAAGCTGACGGTTCCACTGGCTGGAGGTCATTTGGGTATGGGTCAAAATTAAACCACCAGGGGACCGCAGGTTTTAGTCCATGTTTCCATTTACCAGGGTTCCATGTTGGTACTTTTTTTCGACCCACTACCATTTGTTTGCGATTGGACAAAACGCAATAACCCGAAATGAGCCAGCGCTGCTGAAAACGATTTATTGCTTAAAATCAGCACTTCGTTCATCACCGGCATCTTTGCAAGCGGTCAAACCGGCCTTCTCAGGAAGACGGGTCCAAGAAAATCAACCTTCACAACTGGACCAAACTAATCTTTATTCTCAAGAAACGGGGCCAAAGGTCCATTAAATCCTTACTCTCACAATGAAATCCTTTTTCTCAAGCAACAGGACCAATTTCATTTCGATGTTCAAGAAACGGGACCATTCAAATCCTTGTTCTCAAGGAACGGCACCCCTTATTCCACGGGACCAATAAAACCCTTATTCTCAAGGTACGCGACCAATTCTCAGTCTCAGTTGCCCAAAAAACAACTTTTGTTGCCCGACCTGGGTCCACATTCGTTCAAGGTTAACCATTTTCTGTCTGTGTCTGAAAATTGAATCCTTATTCACGAGGCATCAGTGAAATCCTCATTCTCAGGCAATATCCAAATACGGGCTGTGTGAGCCGTACGCTTGCAAACCGGTGGGCATTGCTAGCGTCCAGAGTCTATAGATTTAAACTGGCCCCGCTGCTCGAGAATAAGGATTTAATGATTTAAGCGGTCCCGTTTCTTGAATAAATTCAATATGTCCCCTTCCTTGAGAACAAGGAAGTAATTGGCCCCGTTGCTGGACAATCATTAATTGCTTCAGAAAGAGGATTTAATTGGTCCCGTTCCTGGAGAGTAAGGATTTCATTCGCCCCGTCAGGATGAAAATGGCCCTGTTCCTTTTGAGAATCCGTTCCTTGAGAATCCGTTCCTTGAGGATAAGGATGTGGTCCTGTTCCTTGAGAATAAGGATTTGATCGGTCCTGTTCAGAATCAGAATTAGGATTTTGATCGGTCCAAAGGCACCAATTTCCTGCGAAAGACAACTTAATCGGACCGGATGCCCGAGCGAGGGATTCATTGGCCCCATTGCCTGCGAATAAGGATTTAATAGGTCCCGTTGCCTGCAAACATGGACTTGATTCCGGCAACTTGTGTTTCAAACTCTGATCCAGAAACCCAAAGAAGTTGCAGAAAACGAAGTATATATTTTTGGCAAGTCATTGTTTTGAAATACAAACATGGCCTAAACCGAGCAGAGCTAGGATTTGGTGCGATCTTATTCGCAGGGCGATACTTGCATTGGAATTATGTTTATGAAAAAAAAAATGCACCGAGCTTCAGCGGCTGCCTCGCCAAGCGCGATGCATCCATCATGTTGCTCACGATGTCCTTGACGGCTCTTTGTGACTAAGTCATCTGTCACTTTTTCCAATTGATCAAGCTCTCCGAGTAAGGATCCCCTTTTGTTCCATTTTTCTGAGGCGTCCATTATGCTTAAAACAATGTCTCAGTCGCACGGAGGAGCCAAACTGCCTAAACAAATGCATGGGCGCCTCAGTAAGTCTGGCAGCGCACATGCGTCAAACTAGACTGTCCCTCTTGCCATGCCAATGGCCAGTTTCATCCCACTTTCCTTTTTCGTTGCCAAAGGAATCACTCATTTTCTGGCCGTACTGCGCACCAGTTGGAAAGAAGGCTTACAAATGGCATACACCACTTGGCAAATTCTGGAGGGATGCGTCCATCCACAGTAATGTTGACCCAGGATTAAGAAACCCGTCCCAATATTAGTGGGGTGTTCCCTCCAAAAGTGAGAAACCCCACTAAAAGGGGACACCCCCATATTAATCAACCAGGGGTTTATTAATCCGGGGTGAACATTATCATGCCCGCGGAGACATGGCTCCAGCAGCCGCATCGCGGAGCTGTTGATCATGGCCAGAGGCTTCTTGGCGCCGCTCGTCGTGGACTCATCTTCCAGGAGCGAGTGGCTGAGGCCGATGATGCCATGCCTTATGCTTTCACGAGTGACACGCGAAGAAAGGTGCTTCTTCCGGCAAGGAGGCTAGACAGAAAGCCTACTGAAGTCAGAGCAAAGGCAAGCTGTCAGGTGCCTTGGCTGCCTTGGCTTTTCCAGCTTTCAGGCGAAAGGGTGATTCGGGCAGCCTAGCTATAGCTGGGGCACAACGGGGACTTGAGCTCATGCGAGACCATGGCCATCATGGAAGACTTCCAGTCATCGATGTCTTTCAGCTTCGTGATGTCCTTGCAAGGAACAATGTGCCGCTCGATTCTCGGGCTTCGAACTGTGGGGCAGCGTGGGTGGCGGGTGGGGCAGCGTGGGGGGGTCATGCAAGCTGCTCTGTTCCCTAAACTGACACCTCAGCTTAGACAAGGGGCACAGCAAAAGGTTGGCAAGTCACGCTTGTGTTGATTGCCGCTTTCGGGCCACCTTCTAGCTGACAGTCGGAAGATGGAGGTCAAAAGGTCAGCGGCAAGCCTGATAGAAATTGTGCGGCTTCGACCCACAAGACGCTTCTTCACTGCCACCCTGTGCATACTGCGGCTCCTGCCCAATGCAAATTGCTCCAGTGGGATTGCCACTGCTGTCTACCAGAGTGGTCGCGTTCACCAGGAGCGTGACCTGCAACAGCATATGTCTGCCATATCCCAACGGTGAATACATGTTGCCAAAATCTCGCAAGCGGAACACACACCCCAAGCAAGTTGTTCGCATGCATGCTGGAAGACGTGACTAATAGTATTGTTGAATGACCAAGTACTGGCAGAGTGTTGGAGACTCGGCAACATTTCAAGATGCTGATGCACTGTGTCCAAGTAAGTTGCCCACGTTGGCTGTCTCCAGGGTGATCTCGAAGACTTCTGTGCGCTTGTGCTCAAGCGACAATTTCACCTCGTGCTTTGTTCACGTGCGGATTTGGTAGGCGACATCGGCTTCATGTGAGTCATAATCAAAACCCGGTGTTGAAATGGTCTACCCAGAACCATGTAAAGAATTAAGAAGGCGGCCGCAGCTATTTACGGTTGGGATTTTCCCTGACTAACCTTCATCTACCCGGGCTTTGATTGTGACTCATGTGTTCATGCCTGACACCTCACACGGCACAAGGCGCAATTGTGCCATGGGGCCATCTTCGTGACATTCAGACGGCAGCTGGCACAAATCACCGAGATGAGCCTCTCCCCCAAGACCTGCATCTTGCTGAGTCCTGACTTGGCTGATGATTTTTCAGGCGAGAGCGCTCCTGGCTTTCTCTGAGCGCACCTGACGCCTCCACCAGCCAGCGATTCCACTCAGTGATGCAGCAGTCCATGCCCACCTCAGCAATCTGAATGCACCGCATGTGTCAAGAGGTTCACCCAAATCCTTGTTTTCCTTCTTGCGTTCCCTTTCGTGTTCCCTTTAACCCCCCCCGCCCCAGCACGAAAAAGCAATGCCCTCAAACGAACACACACACACACACACACACACACACACACACCAACCACCCCAACCACCCCACTGCTAATGTATCCGCCTGAAAGATGGGCGCCGCGGCCATGTCGATCAAGTTGGAAAGGCTAGCGGCCAGCGTCTGCGCTTCTTGCCTCGCGCGAAGGGCAGAATCAGCCGTCCAAGACGAAAAATCAAAAGCCTGCAGAAAACATCGTCAGAACATCGATCAAGTGTCTGGAATGAAAGAATGTGTGCAACCAAATCGCTGGGAACAAATCAAAGATGGTCCGGTTTGAGAGGCACAAGCATCCATCATTGCTCAGCAAACGCTGCTTCCACCTATTTTAGCTTGACCCTGTGAACACATTGGGGCTGCTAGCACAAACGTCCACCAAGGCTGACATGTCGCAATGCACGCAGCACTTATCAGTTTGGGCTAGCCTTTCTATGGCCTGTCGAGCCACTGCCAATAATCTGTGCGGATCTTTGGACCATGGCACAAGGGAAAAAGGCATATTCGAAGAGCAAGCAATAGTCAAAGCTGATTTGGGTGTGGCTCAAAATTAAAGACCTGGGGTTACGCAGGTTTTAGTCTGTTCCAGTTGCCAAGGTGCCATTTTGGTGCCACTTTTTTCAGCCACAGCCATTTGTCAGACTTGCTCTAGGTTTCTCCCTGAGATCCTTCCGGTACCTTCGAGCCGCGCCTCTGAGAGGTGAGCTCCGTGACGTCTTGGCCCACGCACACGGCACCCCGCACCTCTCCGTTCGGGCTTCGCAGAGGAGTGGCGCCTAGACACGGCGAGACGCGCCCCGGGGCCCCGGGAAGTCCAAGCAGTTCACTTGGCTGTGGTCAAAACCCGCAAAACCCTCCTGGTGAACATCAAAATAGGTGGTGCATGGGTGTTCCGCCCCATGGAGAAATGCATAGGCTATCATCCATGGCCACTTGAACTGAAAAAATAAACCCGTATCAAAACCCCCAGCCCAAGTTGTTTTCATTGCCAATCCAAGCGGCGGTCTTCATAAGCATGAGGTCCCACAATGGCATGCCCCTTTAAGTGTATGAGGTCTCATGTGTATACACCGCTGCAAATTGTCTGCTAACAAATTCACTCAGCAAAATTGGGATCTGCAGAAAAAGAAAAAAAAAAGAAAAAAGAAAATGCAAAATACAGAAATGGGCAACTCCTGTTCCAAGCAGTTTGAGGGCATCTGCGGGCTGCGCGCGACTTGCGCGGGACTTGCGCGAAGACTTGTTCATCTTTGGGCCATGGTGATGATGATGATCATCATCATGATCATGATGATGATCATCATGATGATGATGATGATGATGATGATGATGAATCACTGCGTCACTTGCGCTTCGCTTGCGCTTTACTTGCGCAGCCCCATGTTTGACTTGCGCGGCGGCTCCTGCAACACACTCCTGCCCTTCAAATTACAAGCGGCGGTGCAGCTGATTTGATACGTCCAAAACAACTGGGATCATGCATTTCATTGACACATGCAACGGGTTTTCTTTTTCGGCTCACTTGTCCTTTGCAAGGCAAGCTGCTCACCGCCACCGTCACCGTCTCTTCCTTCCCATCCTGCGCAGGCAAACACAAGACTACGCAGCTGGAACTGCAGCTTGATGGTTTGGTGTGACGAGATGGGGGAGGTTGTCGCAAGTCAAATCAAATTTTCATCGTTGCAAGTCTTTGTATGGGCCGCGGTTATGGCTTCTTCTGCAAGCACCCTTGAATGTTGGTCAATGGTTGACCATTTTGAAAACAACCAACGCGTGCGCACCCGCGCACACACACAGAGACACACCGGGGAACGCAGCACAGCGCAGCTGCACATTGAAATTTTAGCCGCTGCTGTGACAAGGAATAAGGAATAAGCCATGGGATTCCCGCCAAAGGCGAAGAAGGTGGTGTGGGCGTGTGCAGAATGTAAATGAAATCATCAATGTGTCACGTATCGTTCCTACTGCTAGGCTGCAACGCACCCCCATTCTTTTTCCCTTCTCATCATTCATAGTCTGCACTGCCCGTGCCTGTAACAACCCTCATCGCCTGAGGGATAATGCTTTGGATTTCCATGCATCTCCTGCATGGACTGTGCTTAGAGGGGGCCACCGGTCAACTCCGGTTGGGATGCCTCTAACATCCTTAAAAGTTCCCCTCCCCTCGAAACAGCACAGTGCGCCCTTGCGCAAACCCCAGTCCCATCGGGACCTTCAAAGTTGTCGGTTACTGGACGCCAGGCTAGACAACTAGGGTGGGTTGGGTGGGGAAACCAAAAAGGTGTCTGCCAATTTGGCTCAGTCTTGATCCAAAATGGCAGACCCATAACAATTGATGATACATGTTCACCCAATGCCTGCCAAGCTCTAAACATGGCATACATCAATGTGTCAGTGCCTGTAACAACCCTCATCGCCTGAGGGATAATGCTTTGGATTTCCATGCATCTCCTGCATGGACTGTGCTTAGAGGGGGCCACCGGTCAACTCCGGTTGGGATGCCTCTAACATCCTTAAAAGTTCCCCAATGCACTTCATCAACTCCCAAAGCACTACAGAAAGCTCGTCACCGCGAGCACGGCACGAAAGGGCAGCTTCCACATGATGGGAAAACAGAAGCAGTGGCATCTGACCAATTGGATTTGGAAGGGATCCACTCCCAATACATCCAAACTTTCAGCCCATACAAAACTGTGTGTATCACGTGGGACATTCGCTCCAGATCCGGTTCTCTGGATCTACCACGGATTAAACACATCAGGGCTGCGGTGTTATCGATGTACCACACTCCCCGCCGATTACGGAATGTATCCGGTCGGCAGAGAAGGGCGTACAACACCATGGACAGCTCCAATTGAGCAATCTTCCGGTCCCCCGGAGTCCACAACTGGTAAAGCTCAAGTGGGATGTCGGCTACAAAAGCTTCCCGTCGCTCGGCGAAGCCGTCGGCCCAAACCATCAGGAAACCTCCCGTCCCCTGACGTGGGCTCTCAAGAGCCGCATCCGAAGCTATCACAAACCTCTCACACGGCACTGGCAACGGAAGCACTCGCCGTGGTTGGGTAGCAAGCAAAGACTGCTTCTAGCAACTCAAGGCTCGCCTTGATAGGCTCAGTCAGCTCAGATGATCTTTCAGCCTGCCGCATCTTGACGGAGCCCAATCCTCCGCATCCCACGCGGCCATAGACTCCCATCTCCAAGAAGTTAGCCAGGCCGTAGATCTTGGCCGCGAGGCCAGGTGCGAGTCTCCCCTCAGAAGGAAACCACGCCGTCGTGCAGGGCCTGAGAGGGGTCATGGTCAAGCCCCAGAAAAAGGCCTTGGGCTGCCATAGGCTGCTTCTTGTCCTCGGAGAATGGCGTGCCCAGTAGCCGGTTCAGCTCTTCCAGCGCCCACTGGCCGGAGCCACCGGCCGACCGCCAATCCGTGATGTGGGCGTCATCAAAGTAGAACGAAACCAGAAGGACCAGCAGTCGTCTGGCCAGCGCTTCCGCCAGCCTAGAGTATCGGTTGAAACTGGTCACCGCCAACGGCAGGCCAAAGAGCAACCCTGCGTACCGCTGAAATGCGGGCGCTCCCCATCCTTGATGCCAAAAGCAAACGATACAGCCCCTTGCCTCCTCACTGCTCATAGGAGAGTGGCGATAGGCATCTGGCCAATCCTCCCCTCCGGATTCCCACGAGTCACCCTCGCGGGCCGAGCGAAGTTGGCTCTCATCCATGCGTTGCATCACCGCTGCAATGTGCTGAGCTGGCCTCAACGGCGAACAGAGGACTAATTTGTTGGCGTCCGAGGACCGGAGGGATTGCCCCCCTGTATCTGCGTTGTCGATCACTGACGACTGTTGTGTGATGACACACCTGGGTATGAGTCGGAACTCCTGCCCTCTGAGCTCCCGCTGCAGCTCGGACAGGGACATCGGGGCCGTGCAAAACCCACGATCAGCGTCCTTCTGCGACTGCTCCAGCAAGAAAGTGTCATCCTTGCCCGGACGCAAACTGGCTAGCACGAGACGATTGTTCTCGCCCGCCCCCTCCAGGACCTCCTCAAAGGTAATCCTCCGCGCGTCTTGCTGGGGGAAAACGCCGTAGTGGGGGGCAAAGCCGACTGCTGGCAGGCCCACCACCAGGCCATGGGGGTATGATACGTCGGGCCATGCCAGCAACATCACCAACAGGCCCAGCAAACCAATGTCCCTTTGTGCTGTCACTGCTTGGAGGGCTGGTGCCTGGAATTGCCTCAACTGATCATCCACCCGTTTCCATCTCTGCTTCAGCTCCCTGACCGCCCCAATGGCGCCACGTCGCAGCTGGCGCAGGTCCCCCCTGCGTGCCGCCATGACTGAAGCCACGAACTGCAAATCCTCATCCATCACTGCTTCCTGCTCCAGTGGAGTTGGTGTCATCTTCATTGCCAAGGCCGTAGCGAAGTGGTCGTCCGGATTGGGCACACCGGAGATCAGCGGGGGCAAGGCTGCCTTGTGGCTCAAGCCCGCTTGCTGCCCCTCAGCTGCGCGCGACCGGATGCGGACCCCCGCCGGGGCCGTGGTAGGGCCCAGGGGACCATCCCAATCCAGCTGCTGCCCGTGCCGCCACTCCGCAAAGTCGGTGAATGGAGATTGGTTGATGAGGTCCTCAATCATGGAGAAGCGGAAGCCCTTGAACCAGGGTTCAGGAAAGAGGCTCAAGAAGCAGTTCACCACTGCCTCTTGCGTCCAACGCCTCCACGGAACCGCTCTGGCATCCACTCCCGGCAAACCGCCCCATGCTAGCAGAACTCCTCGTCTCGGCACTCGGCGGTTCTTCCGTCGTGCTGGCTGTGCAGCCGACTGCTGGACACACTCCTCAAAAACCAAGCCTGCCAAAATATCAGCCTCGCACACCTCCTCGAAGCTGCAATCACAGGCCAGCCTCTTGCCCATCAACTCCGGCAACCGTTCACCCAGGCCTGACTGGTGGACATACTGCACAAAGCGTGGGATCCACTCGTCCCACGAGCAATCGTGCCCCGGCACCCACGGGCATTTCCAGTCGGACGTAGATACTCGATGGCTGTGATGCCCTCGTCCAACGTAAACCACGTCCTCGGGTAGGGTACCATCTTCGTATAGCACTTCGAGGATCACCACTCGCCGCGGCACCGTGGCACCCGAGGCCAATGGGGGGTGGCTTGAGCCCGAGGCTCACCGCCATCGGCGCCATGGCCCATTCGCGTAGGGCCCGTCCATCGAATTCCAACCAGTGTTCCCGGCGCCCTACCGTCTCGATCGCCGGCATCCGCGGGCGTGCCTTGCCGACCCGGGCAGCCCACCACGAAGCCGCCACCGCGATGCTGAATGCCAGCGCGGCCGTATACTCCGCCTCGGCCTTAGACGGGTACCACCTGCCATCGGAACTCTCCTGTGGCTCCCACTCTCGGGGGTGGTGGGTATGATGGCACATCAAAGGCGGCCACTCCTCGATCTCCTGGACGTTGTGTCTGAGGCACTGGAGTTTGCTCCGGGCCCCCGCAAACACGCATGCGGAATACTGCGTGTCTTTCCACAGTCCGGACTCCATCATCGCCTGCTCCTGGGGGAGGTACCAGCGCAAGCTCCTCCATGGGTTCTCCCGCACGGAGGCCCCCCCTCCTTCAGCATGCTTCTGGAGCTGTGTGAGCATCCAGCCGCATGCCGCGTTGTCCGTGTCCACCCGAGCCTGGTCTTTGACTGACAGCCCTGGTAACCCCAGGGGCTGGTCTGCTGACCGGAGGGGCTGGGGCGCTGGTCGTCCATCGTTGAATCCGCGGAATCTCCCTTGCCCGTGACTTGGTGGAGCAGTCCATCGCGGCCGCAATGAAGTCGGTCTCCTCAAGCTGGTCCGCCAATGACTTTTGCCTCAGGGGGTTAGACAGGTCATGGGCAGGGTCGAGGAGCCAGTCCACGGAGATGGTGCGCCATCCACAGGAAGGCTTTAACCACACATGAGATCAGCCATCAACGGTGGTTCGCCACCAGGCAGCGCTGCCGCAGCGGACCCAGAGGATGCAGCCGCCACATCATCCTCCGGGCCCCATCAGGAGCCTTTCCCCTTCTTCCCAGCGCGACAGGTGGACGCTCCGTGGTTGCTGCCCCCACAGACGCGCTCACCCCTGGTCACCAGGCCGCAGCGGTGGGCCCCCTGCTGACACTTGGTCGCCTTGCAATTGCCATGCTGGAATGCTTGGCACAGGGCAACTCCATCCTTCAGCACTTTAGCCACCGCCCGACCGCCGATCGGCTTACCCAGCTGGAAGAGGGACGTGCTCGGGGTGTTGGTCGCCACTTTGCCCACGGCTGGAGTGGCCGGCGCGGCGCTCCCCTCGCCGGCACGCACCACCCAGTGCGGGTCACGGGCCTCAAACACCTCCATGACCACCTTGCCCAGCGTCTTGGTGTTCTCGCGGAACTTGGTCACCCACTCAGTCCGTTCTGCTAGGTCCTGAGTCTGCAGCCATCCTAGCCGCTTGTGGTGCGGGAGCGACTGGAGCACCCGTTTCGCCCGGTGGTAGGGACCTGGACGAAGCTCGTGCTGTCGGCCCCCAGGACGGCCTCCCTAGCCGCCTCCGGAGCACCTGACACCCGGCCCGCGCCAGCCAGGGCGTAGGCCACCAGCAACGTGTAGAGCTTGTCCAGATAGCCCTCCCAATCCCTGGCCACAGTGTCCTCGTCCGCGTCCTCCTCGACGAACAAGGTGTCCGCCAGCTTCCTCTTCTTGCTAGATGACGTGAGCTGGAATTGCAAGGAACGAACTTTCCAAACATCGAAAACACACAGCAGCCTCTTGGACATCTCTCGACTCACTCGGGAAACGGTGGCATCCGAAGGGTACAATTCCGGGGGGAGCCGGACTCGGTACCTGGTCTCGCTGTCTCCCAGCAGTGAATCGAGGTCAGTGGCACTCACTTTGGAACGGTCGGTGTCACACTGCTACAGTGAAACCGCGGACCAGGCCCGCCTCAAACGAGCCACCTGGATCATTCGATCATCTCCCAGATTCAGTTTGCCCAGGAAGGTTTCTACCTGTGCCTCCGAGTCGAAGAAAAACCGAAATTCTTCCAGGTTGGCAATCTTGTGTTTGAGGAGGGCTTGGACGACCGATTGCTCCAAATCGAAGTTGATTGCCAGGGCCCCAAGGGTTTCCTCAATGGTCTTCCCAGGTGGAGGCACCACCAAACTTGCCATCGCCGCCGGGGTCACTCCCCGGCCTGGCCGTCAAAGGGATCTAGTCCTGCAATACGAAATGGGCTGAGGCAGACCCCATCCCATGACCGACTCCCCTCCCTGTCTCCCACGGAAACCCACATGACAGTGCAGGTGCAGTGGAATCAAGCCATGAAGCATCACTTGCGGGGGACTGTCGCTCGCCCTTCCACGTCTCCCCAAAACAACCCAAAGTCCCGGCCAAACTCCACACCCCTTAGGGGGGGGGGGGGGCCTCAGAGGTTCTGGGGCAGACAGTTCGTCCTCAACATCAACTTTCTTCTCGCTCTCAGCAGGGTCGGGCCCGTCGGCACAGGCTGAGGCCCGTGCAAAATGGGGTCCCAAGCTTATTTGGATGCGCCGGGGCGCTACAAGGCAAAACCGCAAAACATCAGCCATAGTCTACTCACTGCGCCGCCACCCAGCTGGAGCTCGCACCTGGCAAAGGTGGCACAAAGTCCGCCCCCACGCTGACGCCTCCTCCCAGGTGTCGCACAGGATCGGATCCCTCAAGCGCCCAGCACCAGAGCGCGCCTGCTTGTGGCTACACAGTGGCGCATCATTCATCATGCGCAGGTGGATGTTCGAGCGTGCCGTGGTCACGTAGCCCACCGGCAAAGGCCACCCTCGTTTCCTGCCGCATTCGCTCCACCCACATCCCGGTGTCCTTGTCGCGGGCGATCTTGCTGTACTCAATGCTTCTGCGGGCACGGATCCACGCCTCCGACTCCGAGATAGTCTCCCGGGTCAAGACTGCACGGGCCAGGATGCCCATCGCCGCGGCCCGGCGCCGGCCCGCCATGCAGTGCACGAGAGCCTGTTCACCTGCCGCCAACGTCTGCTGCAGCACGGCCCACATATTCTTCCAGCCCTCCGTGCGGTCTCGTGGTGGGCATGTACACCGGGAACGCCCCCGGCAATGTCACGCCCCCGCGGCTCTCCGGGCTGCTCGGAAGGCAGATGATCTGCAGGGTCACGGGCGGGAAGTTGGGCGCCTCCGCCTGCTTCGGGAGTCCGGACAACCACAAACGGCCGCCCTTCGCATTCTGGTAGATGCACGTGGCCACCTGCGCAGCGCGTTCCTCCGCAAGGGCATCAAACAGCTGGTCCCCCTGGGCCACAGGGAGCACAGCCGCCGGACGTGAAGGCTGTGACGGGGCCTCCGAGTCACCCTCGGGCCAGGCGTCACGCCTCCTCCGCTTCTCACCAGGGCCGCTCGGTTCTGGCGGCCGCTTCTGGGGCACCGCCTTGATCTTGGGCGACAGCATCATCGCTTCGGCACTAGCCGAGCCACTGCTCGCGGCCCCCGACGGCCGGGCCGGGATGGACGACTCCGGGTCCTCCACCATAACCACCTTCGTCACCCGGCACACGCCCGCTGCATGCTTCCCTCCGCAAGCTCTCCCCGTCAAGCGGACGCATGCACAAAGGTGCGCAAACCCGCACACTCGCTCCCCGGGGCACTGCCCCGCCTGGAACGCCGGGCATAGCCTCTTGCCATCACGCATCACTGCGGTCAGGCGCCGGCCGTTGAGCGAGGCCGGCATCGTGGTTGCTGGCTTGGCTGCCTCTGCCTTGGCTTTGGCTATCCGCTTGAGCTTCTGCGTCAGGGCGAAGCGCTTCTGAAGCTCCTTGGGGCGTGGGGGGGCCGCCCACACCACCTGGGCGTCCCGTGCCTTGGCCTGGGCTGCCGCCTGGCCAGCCTGGGCCGCCTCCTGAACCTCCGCCGGCGGTACCAACTCCCAGGATTCGTGGTGGGTCAGAGCCGCCACCGCTCCCACCATCCTGTGCTTGGCCAACAAGGACGCCACGTACTTGGTTTCGGTGTAGTGCAATGGCATGCGAGCATCCTCCGGGACGTCACCTTTGGTCTGCCAGTCGCCCAACGCTGCCATGTCGAGGGCGCTGAACCCCACCAGTTGGCCCACCGTTGTACCAACCCGCCGGAACGAGTATGACGAAACCATCGCCGGGTTCTCCACCAAGTCCGCAAACTCGTGCCGGACCATTCGGTAGACATCGGACAGCGACCACGGGATCCCCTCCCCACGGAACGCCAGCCCGCAGTCTGCCTTCTGCTTCTCCGGCACCAGGGCAAAGTCATGGAGCCAGGCCGCCGACCAGTCCCACCCGGTTGACAGCTGTCCGGGCACGCAGAAGTCGAAGCCCTTGCGCAGTCGCCGTTGCTTCCCTTTGATGCAGTGCGCATGGACCGTCGACATGGTCACCTTCCGCACCTCCGCCCGAGTGAGGTGCTTGTGGCGTAGGACTCCTCCATAGAGCATCCACGCCGCCAGCAATGCTTGCCAGCGATCATCGCCCTGCGTGTAGAGCTCCTCCATCCGCTGCTCCATCTTCAGCAGCATCACCGGTTCCACCACCGCTGCCTGCCCCCTGGGCCCTGCCCGACGCGCCTGTCCCGCAGGCGGCGTGAGCATGCCCAACCCCAGATCCACCCTCGCCTGCTTGGTCAGCCAGCGCAGTGATTGGGTAGCACGGGCCGGGGCAGCTGTTCCTTCGTGGAGGAAAACATCAAGGTCGACCACTTCTGGCGGCAGCGGTCGAGAACGCGCCTGTATGAAGGTGATCACCTCACCCCATGTGCGCAAGGCATTCAACACCGTGGCCCTCTCCGCCTCCGTCACCAGCCGCTGCGCCAAACGAGTACATGATCCTCTCCACTCGCGCCGCAACTGCTCCGTCAGGACTCCTGTCGGCTTCATCGCTCCCATGTCCTGCAGTGCCTCGCCGAGCCGTTGGACCTGCATCGTGATCGCCTCCGGTTCGTCTTGAACTGCTCGAAGGCGTACCGCCGGAGCCCTCGAAGGCCGAGGGGCCAGAGGCCCCACGAATTGGCCAGGTCCCTGCCGCCTGTAGTCAGCGCCTCCTCAAACGAGTGGAAGGCGAACGCAAAGTCCGCATCATTCTGCAGCCCGTGCTCGCGCCTCCACCTGGCGGTGTGCTGGGCGCCCACCGCCCCCAAAGCCGACTCCGGGTCCCACTGCCCCCCGGCGTCCCCCGCCAGGCGAGCGTAGATCCCGGTCGGTACAGCTGCCATGGCGCTAAGGATCCCCCAGAGAGACCAAATGGCTGAGGCACCACACCGCATGCAAGGGGGGGGGAAAACACGCTCTCCCGCTGCGAAACCTGCCAGCCACTGGCCCAGAGCCCTCCCGGCCCACGCAGTGGCCCCATCGCGACTTCGGCTCATATGCCGCGGCCTGCCTGCCACCTCCTCCACGCCCAGAAGACGGCCTCCCGATCGAGGCCACACTCCTCAAGGCCGGCCAACTCCACATAGCCAATGAAGCGCGCCATGTGCTCGGGGACCAGCTGCTGCACTCGCATGCCCGAGTCAACGGCCCGAAGCTGATCCTCATCCAAGTAGTCCCGGCCCGCATAGTAAAGGTCCCAAGCTGCCTCCGGGCCAACCTCTGCTTGAACCAGGACTGCGCGTTTGGTCCAAATCCCGAGCCACGGGAACTGGAACCCCCCACGCATGTCTGTGCACCTAGCACACCCTGCCACCATGCAGGGGACCTCAACTGCCCTCCACAGCCGAACGGCCTGGTCCCGTTCCCCACGGGCCAGCAGTCCTCGCACGTAGGCCTCGAAGTCCAGGAAAAACCGCCGGGTGCAACATCCGCGCCTGACAATGGGCCACCAAAGGGCCTGCGTCGGCGCCAGACATACCGGAGTCCCACTCCAGTCAACAATGTAACCAAACCAAAAAGGTGTCTGCCAATTTGGCTCAGTCTTGATCCAAAATGGCAGACCCGTAACAATTGATGATACATGTTCACCCAATGCCTGCCAAGCTCTAAACATGGCATAGATAGATAGACGGATGAATAGATAGACAGAGATAGGTGGGTAGATAGATACATTGATTTACAGGAAAGCAAAGCCTAGTTCGCAACGAAGCCCAGGAGCAAAGAGTACGCTTGGCCAGGCACAAACGGGCATGGTACACAGCAAAACTGAGCGGGGCTTACAGAGTCGCCGCGTCTGACTCCTCTGACTTGATGAAGTGGACCTGCGCAGTGTGCGTAACCCTGCCAGCAAGGGCGTCGTTGATGAGCTCGATGGCCTGTGTTGAGGCTCCGAGGGTTCGGACCTCTTGAAAACACAGATTTTGGGCGGAATCCAGGCAAGCCGTGTGACTTAAATGCATATTGCCCCGGCGTCAAAAAATGCCAAGCCGCAGCAGACTTCCACAAATAGTCGTCACCATCGGCGATGAGTTCGTTGAGGGCAATGTTCCTTGCACGGAACGCAGCAAACAGCAACGGCAACCATTGCACCGCTGTCACAGCGGTTCAAGACACCTCTCTCTGTCTCCGAGGGTCGCTGTGTCGGGGCTTCGGCCGGTGAGCTCCGCGATCTTCAGGTTCCAACCATCCACCTGACATCTGGGCTGGGGAGGTGCCATGTTGTCTCCTCGAAATATTAGCTCAAACAATCCTTCTGTCTGGGCTCTTGGCTCTCTGTCACTCAACTATTCAGGCGAATCGCGCTCTCCAGCGGTATGATGGACACGTACGATGGACACGTGGGGTCTACTTTGCAACCTCCTTCTTTAGGACCTTGGGTTCTTGACGGTCACAGCCTACAAAGTGGCCTCTAAAAGTGTCCATGCGGCACCTCCAAATTGTTGTTCACGGTGAAGATGGGAACGTTGGCCTCCTGGATCATGCGCTGCAGATCCGACGCGGCATTGATGGCGCTATTGCGGAGGCAGCACTCCTCTCAGTCATGCGAGGCATGGATGCCCTCACACAACAAGAAAAACTGACCACACGCGATAGAAACCGCTTGATCCCAACTTGCAAGGTTCGAGAGTCCTAGTCTATGCCCCAGGCGTGCACGTGTGTGTGTGTGTGTGTTTCGAGTGCACGTGCGCGTGTGCGTGTGTGCGCATGCAGGCGGGCGCGGGTGTGGGTGCAGGTGCGGGTGCAGGTGATGTGTGTCTCTGTGTGTCTGTGTGCCTGTGTGCCTGTGTGTGTGTGTCTGTGTGTCTGTGTGTCTCTGTGTCTGTATTTTCTGTGTGTCTGCGTGTGTCTGTGTGTTTGTGTGGTTTGTGTGTTTTGTGTGTTTTGTGTGTCTGTGTGTCTGTGTGTTTGTGTGTGCGCGCACGCGTGTATGTGTTAACGATTGTGTGGTGATTGTGTGTGTGTGTGTGTCTGAGTGCCTGTGTGTCTGTGTATGCGTAATGTGTGTGTGAGCGCACATGTGTGTGTGCGCATGTGTGTGCGCTGTGTGTGTGTGTGCGCTGGGTCTGTGGGCTTGCTTCGTGCGTGTGCGTGTGTGTGTTTGTGTGCGTGCGTCTCGTGTGTGTGTGTGTGTGTGTTTGTGTTGTGTATTTTGTGTGAGGGTGTTTTGCGTATGTGTTTGCACGTGTGTTTGCGTGTGTGCTTGTGGTTGTGTGGGTGTGTGCGTGTGCGTCGTGTGTGTGTGTGTGCGTCTGTGTGTGTGCTTGTGTGTGTGTTTGAGTGTGTTTGTCTGTGTGGTGGTCTGTCTTTGGTGTGTGCTTGTGTGTGCGTGTGAGTGTTTGCGTGTGCGTGTGCTCGAGCGCGTGAGCGTGTGACACGCGCGCGCGTGCGCGAGCTTGTGTGCGTGCGCATGGGCGTGCACGTGGGCTTGGGCGTGCACCTGCGTGTGCGCGCGCTAGCTCGTGCGTCTGCGTCTGCGTCTGAGTGCGTGTGCGTCTGCGTCCGCGTGTGCGTGTGTGTGTGTGTGGATGCGCGCGCAGGTGCGTGTGCATGCGTGCGCGTGTGCGTGTGCGTGAGCTTGCGCGTGAGCGTGCGCGTGTGCGTGTGCGTCTGCGTGTGCGTACGCGTGTGTGTGGGCGTGCACGTGCGCGTGCGCATGTGCGTGCGCCTGCGCGTGCGCGCGTGCGCGCGCGCCCCTGCGCGTTCACGTGCGTGCGTCTGCGTCTGCGTGTGCATGTGCATGTCCGTGTGCGTGTGGGTGTGGGTGTGCGTGTGTGTGTGTGTGTGCACGCATGCGCGTGCGCGTGTGTTTGGGCGTCCGCGTGCGTGTTTGCGTATGCGTGTGTGCGTGTTTGTGTGCGTGCGTGTTTGTGTGTTTTGTGTTTGTATGTTTGTGTGTGTGTCATTGAGTGAACTTGTACACGGGCTTGCGTGGCGCGTGCGCGCGCGTGCGCGCGCGTGCGCGTGCGTGCGTGCAAGCGTGCGTGGTTGGGTGGGTGGGTGGGTGTGTGTGTGTGTCTGTGTGTGTGTCTGTGTGTGGGTGTGTGTAGGTGTGTGTAGGTGTGTGTGTGGGTGTGTGTGGCTGTGTGTGGGTGTGTGTGTGTGTTTGCGTGTGTGTGTGTGTGTGCTTGTTTGTGTGTTTGTGTGTGTTTGTGTGTGTTTGTGTGTGTCTGTGTGTTTGTGTGTATGTGTTTGTGTGTCTGTGTGTGTGTTTTTGTTTGTGTTTGTTGGTGTTTGTGTGTTTGTGTGTTTGTGTGTGTGCATTTGTTTGTGAGATTGTTTGTGTTGCTTGTGTGTGCGTGTTTGTGTGTGTTTGTGTGTTTGTGTGTGTGTGTTTGTGTGTGTGTTTGTGTGTTTGTGTGTGTGTCTGTGTGTGTGTTTGTTTGTGTGTATTTGTGTGTTTGTGTGTGTTTGTGTGTGTTTGTGTGTGTTTGTGTGTCTGTTTGTGTGTTTTTGTGTGCTTGTGTGTGTGTGTGTGTGTTTGTGTGTGTCTGTGTTTGTGTGTGTGTGTTTGTGCGCTTGTGTGTGTTTGTGTGTGTGTGTGTTTGTGTGTGTGTTTGTGTTTGTGTGTGTGTGTTTGTGTGTTTGTGTGCTTGTGTGTGCGTTTGTGTATGTTTGTGTGTGTGCGCTTGTGTGTTGGTGTGTGTTTTTGTGTGTTTTTGTGTGTTTGTGTGTGTGTGTTTGTGTGTGTTGTGTGTTTGTGTTTGTGTTTGTGTTTGTGTTTGTGTTTGTGTTTGTGTGTGCATGTGTGTGTGTGCGCTTGCGAATGCGCGTGTGCGTGTGCGTGCGCGTCTGCGTGTGCATGTGCGTGGGCGTGTGCGTGTGCTTGCGCGTGCGCGAGTGCGTGCGCGTGTGCGTGTGCGTGCGCGTGAGCATCTGCGTGTCCGTGTGCGAGTGCGTGTGCGTGCGCGCGTGCGCGTGCGCGCGCGCGCCACGGGTGGGCGCGTGCGCCTGCGCGTGCGTGTGCGCGGGCGCGGGCGCAGCACGGGCGCGGCGCGTGCGCGTGTGCGAGCGCGCAAGGCGCGCGGACGCTCGGGGCGCGCAGGCCGTGGGAGCGCGGGCGCGCGGGGCGCGCGGCGCGCGGTCGCGTGGGCGCGCGGGCGCGGGCGCGTTCGCGCGAGCGTGCGTGCGTGCGCGCGCGCGCGTGCGCGTGTGCGTGTGCGTGTGCGTGTGCGTGTGCGTGTGCGTGTGCGTGTGCTTCTGCGTGTGCGTGCGCGTGTGCCTGTGCGTGTGCGTGTGCGTGTGCGTGCGCGTGTGCGTGTGCGTGTGCGTGTGCTTCTGCGTGTGCGTGCGCGTGCGCGTACGCGTGTGCGTGTGCGTGCGCGTGCGCGTGCGCGTGTGCGTGCGCCTGTGCGGTCACACGCGTGTGCGTGTGCGTGTGCGTGTGCGTGCGCGTGTGCGTGCGCGTGCGTGCGCGTGCGCGTGTCCGTGGGCGTGGGCGTGGCAAGAGCGTGCGCGTGGACGTGGGCGTGGGCGTGGGCGTGGGCGTGAGCGAGCGCGTGGGTGTGTGTGTGTGCGTGAGTGTGTGTGTGTGTGTCTGTGTGTGTGTGTCTGTGTGTGTGTCTGTGTGTGTGTCTGTGTGCGTGTCCGTGTGTGTGTGTCTCTGTGTGTGTCTCTGTGCGTGTGTGTCTGTGTGTGTGTGTGTCTGTGTGTGTGTGTGTCTGTGTGTGTGATTTGTGGGTGCGTGCGTGCGTGCGTGCGTGCGTGCGTGTGCGCGTGGGCGGGTGTGTGGGTGTCTGAGTATGTTGGCAATGGGTGTGCGTGCGCGTGTGCGTGTGCGTGTGCGTGTGCGCGCGCGCGTGTGCGAGCGCTCGTGCGCGCGCGTGCGCGTGCGCGTGCGCGTGTGCGTGTGCGTGCGCGTGTGCGTGCGCGTGCGCGTGCGCGTGTGCGTGTGCGTGTGCGTGTGCGTGTGCTTGTGCGTGTGCGTGTGCGTGTGCGTGTGTTTGCGCGTGTGCGTGTGCGTGCGCGTGCGCGTGTGCGTGTGCGTGCGCTTGTGCGTGTGCGCGCGCTGGTGCGCGTGCGCGTGCGCGTGCGCGTGCGCGTGCGCGTGCGCGTGCGCGTGCGCGTGGGTGTGGGTGTGGGGGGGGGTGCGGTGTGGGGGTGTGGGGGTGTGGGTGTGTGTGTGTGGGTGAGTGGTTGTGTGGGTGTGTGGGTGTGCGGGTGTGTGCGTGTGCGCGGGTGTGCGCGTGTGGGTGTGTGGGTGTGCGTGGGTGTGCGTGGGTGTGCGTGGGTGTCTGTGGGTGTGCGTGGGTGTGCGCGCGTGGTGGGCGCGCCTGGTGGGCGCGGGTCGCGGGTGCGCGTGGCGGGCGCGCGTGGCGGGTGCGCGCGGGGGGCGCGCGTGGGCGGCGCACGGGTGGGTGCGCGTGGTGGACGCGCGTGGCGGGTGCGCGTGGCGGGCGCGCGCGGCGGGCGCGCGCGGCGGGCGCGCCCCCCGTGCGAGCGGCGCGCGGCGGGCGCGCGTGAATGGTCGCGCCTGGTGGGCGCGCGTGGTGCGTGGTGGGGGAGGGCGCGCGGTGGGGGGCGCGCGCGAGCGCGCGCGTGGGCGCGCTGATGGGTGCGCGTGGCGGGCGCACGTGGTGGGCGCGCGTGGCGGGTGCGCGTGGCGGGCGCGCGTGGCGGGTGCGTGTGGTGGGTGCGCGTGGCGGGCGCGCGCGGTGGGTGCGCGTGGTGGGTGCGCGTGGTGGGCGCGCGTGGCGGGTGCGCGTGGTGGGTGCGCGTGGTGGGTGCGCGTGGTGGGCGCGCGTGGCGGGTGCGCGTGGTGGGTGCGTGTGGTGGGCGCGCGTGGTGGGTGCGCTTGGTGGGTGCGCGCGGTGGGCGTGGGTGTGGGTGTGGGTGTGGGTGTGTGTGTGTGTGTGTCTGTGTGTGTGTGTGTCTGTGTGTGTGTGTCTGTGTGTGAGTCTGTGCGCGTGGTGGGTGCGTGTGGTGGGCGCGCGTGGTGGGTGCGCTTGGTGGGTGCGCGCGGTGGGCGTGGGTGTGGGTGTGGGTGTGGGTGTGTGTGTGTGTGTGTGTGTCTGTGTGTGTGTGTGTCTGTGTGTGTGTCTGTGTGTGTGTCTGTGTGTGTGTGCGTCTGTGTGTGCGTCTGTGTGTGCGTCTGTGTGTGCGTCTGTGTGTGCGTCTGTGTGTGCGTCTGTGTGCGCGTCTGTGTGCGCGTCTGTGTGCGCGTCTGTGTGTGCGTCTGTGTGTGCGTCTGTGTGTGCGTCTGTGTGTGCGTCTGTGTGCGTCTGTGTGCGTCTGTGTGCGTCTGTGTGCGTCTGTGTGCGTCTGTGTGCGTCTGTGTGCGTCTGTGTGCGTCTGTGTGCGTCTGTGTGCGTCTGTGTGCGTCTGTGTGCGTCTGTGTGCGTCTGTGTGCGTCTGTGTGCGTCTGTGTGCGTCTTTGTGCGTCTGTGTGCGTCTGTGTGCGTCTGTGTGCGTCTGTGTGCGTCTGTGTGCGTCTGTGTGCGTCTGTGTGCGTCTGTGTGCGTCTGTGTGCGTCTGTGTGCGTCTGTGTGCGTCTGTGTGCGTCTGTGTGCGTCTGTGTGCGTCTGTGTGCGTCTGTGTGCGTCTGTGGGCGTCTGTGTGCGTCTGTGTGCGTCTGTGTGCGTCTGTGTGCGTCTGTGTGCGTCTGTGTGCGTCTGTGTGCGTCTGTGTGCGTCTGTGTGCGTCTGTGTGCGTCTGTGTGCGTCTGTGTGCGTCTGTGTGCGTCTGTGTGCGTCTGTGTGCGTGTGTGTGCGTCTGTGTGCGTCTGTGTGCGTCTGTGTGCGTCTGTGTGCGTCTGTGTGCGTCTGTGTGCGTCTGTGTGCGTCTGTGTGCGTCTGTGTGAGTCTGTGTGCGTCTGTGTGCGTCTGTGTGAGTCTGTGTGCGTCTGTGTGCGTCTGTGTGCGTCTGTGTGCGTCTGTGTGCGTCTGTGTGCGTCTGTGTGCGTCTGTGTGCGTCTGTGTGCGTCTGTGTGCGTCTGTGTGCGTCTGTGTGCGTCT